CGACTGGAGAAAGAATCCGTAGAGAACAACATTGACGCAGATACTAATAATTTCATCGCTTGTTTGGATATTGGTCATGGCAGAGGGGGCTACGAGCGACAGGACATAGTCTGGCTTCGTTGGGTGGGTTCGTTAAATGACGAGTGTAGAGAAATGAGCGGGGCGCACCTCAGTAGAGTCCTCTGCAAGGAAAGTGCACCGTCGTTGGATTTATATACATGGAGAGGGTATTCTATACTTTGTGCTGTTGGGGCATAGACTCATTTGCATTCGCCGTCGTAACAGCCATGGTGTTCGGTAGTTCGGACGATCAGAGTATTCTCAACCACAGTAGCAATACACTGTTACCACCTGCAGGTTTCCCAGTTTGGGCTAGTTGCTCAGTGGCTGAAATAGCATTCTTCTGCTGTTACAACAGCATGTTATTCGTGGAGAAGGTACAGGCACCTTGATTGTCTGAGGACCGATAGATGGCTTAAAAGGGAAGGTAGGAACATAACTTTCTTGTCGGTGGACTCATAACCCACTGGCAAGCAGGCTCGTGACCAACTGCAAAATGATGAGGGGACAACCCTCGTGTGGGAAAAGCCTCCTTGGAAGAATGATCAGTCTAACTGGCTAGAACAGCACTGAAAATTGTCGCCGGGACTCTACTTAGCCTTGGGATGATTGGGCTCTATGACACGCAAGCTGCTGAAGGTAGTGAGGTAAAAGCGCAAATGGTGAGTCATTGTGAGTACATATGAACAGGTAGTTTAGTCACAACAGCATTCAACAAAGCATCAAGATCGTTCAATAGTCCGAAGCCAGAATCCCAAAAAAGACATTTATCGGTGGCAGATGGCATCATGGTCAAGTAGTGCAGAGTGATCATGAGCTTGTAGGAAGCCAATGGGTGCCCTAATCTCGTCGTTTGTCGGAAACACTGCCTGACATAGTGTTAAGTTCTGTCGCAAGACGATCATACTCCTTCGAGTTTTGGGAAGCCTGTTTCTTCAATGTTTCTACAACACCCTTAGACTTTGTGTGGGAGGCATTGTCATGATAACACGTACTGAAATCAAGTTCTTTTGCCTCTCGCGCGGCCAGTTTTTTCTTCAGGTCGGCAATTTCTTTCTCGGCTTCGGCAGACCTGGTATTGCCCGCCTACAGAAGGAGGATCAGAAGCCCAGTCGTACCAAGATTTAATAACCAGCTCACGCACCTCTTTTTTGAGTTTAGTGTACTCCTCTTGTGTACGGATGAGTTCAAGAGTGATTTGGAACGTGCGGGTGAGAACGAGAGAGAGAAACAGGCAGAAACCAGTAAGATAGACATTGCGCTGTGCGCTGATGGGAAATGAACAACAGACATACATAGTATATGATCGTCGAACTCACTAGAATTTCCTCGCATGTTGATTTGCTTCTGCCCTCGCATCTGGGGTCATAGTTTGACCGGACTTCGCCAATTCAGTTTCCGCGACACGGAACATACGCTGAAGTGCATCTGCGAACAATATTGCGACAAAACTAGAAAAGGCCAATATTGAGTGAAGTTCGCGGGCAAGATATGTCGCGACACATACATGAATGAGATTTTCAGGCCATAGATGATTTTGGCGACTATTGGAGAGGTGGATAGGAACGAGAAAACACGTTTCCGGACGGCGAATGGTAATGGGGCGACGAGAAGGCAGAATGTGATCATCTAGAAATATTAGTCAGTTTCACATTCAGGAGTATCAGCACGACCACTACCGCACCTCTGCAGCGAGGAGGAAGAAGGTCAGTGAATAACTGTAAGTAGGCAATAAGCTCAGGACACGGGTACAAATATCAGGGAGACTTGCTGAATTGTCATTTTGACAGTAGTGAATCGGTTGTGGATGAGGAGGGGCCTGAGGACGACGCCGGTCTTTGAGCTTTAAATCCCAGCACCACTTCAGCTTTCGGCTGACGTCACATGCGACACGTTTTTCCACGTGATAGAATGCTGCGGCGGCAGTGCACACTGCACAGCCCTCGTACATCGTGTTGTAGTGGTCATTTCGTGGCGAGTGGTATTGATACGGGGTTTCGTTGGATTGGACCGGGGGGCGTGAATTCCCAACTGGAGGTAGAACTTCCACGCGGAACTTGGACGGACTCGGAGGGGTATTTGAGTCTAGTAATCACATTATGTCAGGCTTCAGCGGCCCGACGCCCAATATTCAACACGAAAATGCATTCTAAATTAAATCAACCTACATTCATTACTTTGGGAGCTGTTGCGGCCGCCCTCAGGCCTCAGGCCTCAATGAGGTCCGCTTTTCGGCATTGAGCAAGCACTGACTCGACTGGAGACAGGGGCTTAATTAAATTAATAATTATGTCACATGTGTGACGTGCAAGTGATGGTGACGCAAGCGCGACGCGTCGCCGATATGTGGATCTCTCAATTTGTCGCCCATTTATCCTAACCCTCATCTACACCCATGGCCCCCGTTGCTGTACACGTTAAACACGCAGGAAAGACATATGACATCCAACTAGATCCCGATCTACCCCCCGCCATCTTCAAGGATGCTGTCTATCAGGTAACCGGAGTTCCCGTTGAACGGATGAAGGTTATGGTCAAAGGGGGCGTTCTGAAAGTGAGAGTCTCCCAATATCTTATAATTTGTATGTTTTGACTGATCCGCCGTTTAGGATGACATGTCCTGGAAAAAAATTGGTCCAAAGCCGGTATGTTCCTCTCAAAATCGGCTGCGTTCTGCCTAGTAGACCTTGAGCATATAGGGCCAAACTTTCATGGTCATCGGTGCAGCAGGAGAGCTTCCAAAACCCCCTGAGAAACCCATTGTCTTCTTAGAAGGTGCGTAACTAGCTCCGAAATAAACACCTTTCGACAACGATGGATGCGTTAGATTTGGATGACTCGGAACTGGCTGAAGCGGTAAGGCTGCTCGTGTGTTCAAGGACTTTGTCATTGATAGGATTCTAGCTCGCAAAACCTATTGGCCTAAAAAAGTAAGACCAACCAGTTAAGAGCCCCAACGCCCACCCATGCTCACAAAATCATTAGCTTAGGCAACACTTGTTATATGAATGCCACAGTGCAAGCGCTCCGTGCCGTGCCCGAACTCCAACTAGCCCTGACTACGTAGGTCCACCTTCGTTGCCATTCAGGCACGCTCTCTGACAATCTTCGAAGACCCGCACTTCAATCCACAACACCATTGCCTGGCGCCCTACGCGATCTCTATCAGAACATGGGGAAAACTACCGACAGTATTACACCCATGGCTTTCCTCACAGTCTTGCGCCAGGTATTTGTTCACTCCTCGCGTTATGCTCCCAAATTAATCGATGCACACTGAGGTTAATCCTCAATTTGCAGAGATGGATCGTCGAGAAAAGAGTAGTTTGATGATGGGTGGTTACGCGCAGCAAGGTAACCGAATTCGATCATACTCCGGACAATACTGATGTTCTTCAACACAGATGCTGAGGAATGTTTTAGCTTCATCATACAGACGCTTCGTAATGTTCCGGGACTGTCCCCAGAAGGAACAAGCCTCGCGACTTCAGCTCAAGCAGATGTCGGTACCAAGCGATTTGTCGAGCAATATTTGGTGGGGGAGATGCGAAGAGAGTATGTTATCCCAACTCTGACCGAAAAAATGGGAGTCTCATCAGCATAGATTGACATGTGATGAAGCTCCTGAAGAGTCTGCAAACATTTTGACAGAGCCGGTGCTCAAAATCGAGTGTAACATAAACATTACAACCAATTACATGCTCGCCGGCATTATGAATGTGAGTTTATATTTCCTGTGTCTGAATAATCAGACATTATTCTGACGCCATCTAGTCTCTTGATCAAAAACTGGAGAAGAATTCTCCTAGTCTTGGTCGACAGGCTGTGTACTCACAAAAATCACGGATGTCAAGGCTGCCCAGTTACCTTATGGTGCACATGGTACGCTTTGCATGGAGAGCAGACATTGGTAAGAAAGCCAAGATCATGGTAAGTAACCATCGCCTCATTATGTATCATGGGCGCCAATCCTTCTTTATTTCCAGCGAAAAGTCAAATTCCCAACAGAATTCGATGCTCTGGATCTTACGACTGATGACCTCAAAGCAAAACTCCTCCCACCAAGCCGTAAGCTGAAAGAAATAGAGAAGGAGCGAGCAGAGAGAAGGAAAGTGAGGAAGCGGACAAAGGCTGTTGCGACTTCTACCGTGACCAAGGATACTCCTGCTCCTCCAGCGGCTGAGGCTGCAGTGAGCACCGATGGTGATGTGGATATGGCCGACGTGAGTACGTTGGCTGAAGGGGAGGGTAAAGGTAAAGCTGTCGTTGGAGGGGAGCTCGAAGACGAAGGGGTGTATAGAGAGAGAGAAGCCAAGGAGCTTGCGGAGCTCGTCGACCCTGACGTGAAGAAGGACATTGGTTCCAGTCAGACGGGTTTGTATGACCTAGTTGGTGCGTTCTTACATTTCGTTGATGATGGAGGTTGGACATTGATTGAACCTCCGTTGGTAGCAATCGTGACGCATAAGGGCGCAGCGGCAGACGCTGGCCACTACATCGCGTTTGTGAAGAAATCGGTCTTCCACTCGGCGAAGGGGAAGACTTCTCCTGTTACAGGTGCCACAGGTGCATCGATAGAATTAGATGAAGATGATGAAGACTGGTACAAGTTTGACGATGACAAAGTATCCGTGTTCCCGAAAGAAAAATTGGCGACACTTGATGGTGGAGGTATGTGGTATTCTATGATCAGTTGGTATCCTTGAACTCATGTCCTATTCCTTCGCTTCTTCAGGAGAGGATTCGTCTGCTTATGTGCTGCTGTATAGAACCAAGCCTCTAGCGTGAGAGGCTTCTGATTGTGTATTGGAAGTGGTAACTGTAATAACAGCAACGAGAGTATATTACCATACCCAAGTGTGGCTCTTGATTGAGGGGATCCAATCAGACGGACCCAGATCGCTTAATTCTACCGAACAAAAGTCAGAAGAAAAATATTCCTCTCTGTCGGGGAGTCGAACCCCGCTTTCGCGCGGCCACAAGAATGACAGGCGCGTGTACTAACCGATATACTAACAGAGACTTGCTATTGACTTGCTAATCCTTAGCTTATGATGGGCCAGCATCAAGGGATTTACTTGGGACCTACTACATCATCGCAGTACGTACTCGTCATCTGTTCATTGTCGCCTACTAATAGCTCGGTCCCGCCAGGTGTTTGGGATTGTGCCTCTCCGTCATTCCCAGTGCACAACCGGTTTGGGTCACCTTTGAATGTTTGAGCCCCCACCGAATAGACTTAATAACTTCGCTGGAAGCGCCTTGGACTTGGACGACAAAATGTTTCGTTGACAGGTGCGTAATCTCAAACAAGAGCTACTTGTTGTTTGACAGCACCCTGTGTTGACTTGCACTTTCGATGTTATTCTGAGCGCGTTCAGTGTCTGAAATTTGAAATTCCGGAATTTGAGCGTTAACGTTCAATATTTCAATATCTACCATAAAAAAGTGAGACCGGTCAAATTATTTTTTGACAGTATGCATTGTCAGCCTCCCTCAGTTCTCAGACAATTAAATCTTGACATCACTCCAGAATCCTGCCGACCGGTACGACAACCTCCCACCTCCATTCCACCATGTCACCTTCCACCATGATGCCACCGAGGGCCCTGTCTATGACATTGTTACCTTCGACGGAATCTACGCGGACAATCAAAACCTCGCCATTGATAGCCCGCGTCAGAGACGAGGGTTGGCAGATGGAGAAGTCCCAGTCAGATTTAACTTCTGGCGCGAGACGACGCGGCTACTCAGATTCGAAGTTGAAATATATGTCGAGCAACCCATTGAACCAGGTCACGCCGATTGGGATGGTACAATTGGGCACCCTTGCTCCTGCTGCCACTGTTGTCCCGTCGTCGTTTCTCGGCGATGCAGTGACGTTATCTTCTCGTCAACGATCGTCGCCTTCTGCTCGTGCTTTCGAGTTGGCGAGGACTGGTATGCCTCCGGGTGATATCCCCCCCTCGGGATCAGGAAATCCTGGGTTCTGGTGGTCCCCTAACCGAAGGGAAGTTGTGGCGAGGCCTTGGAACGATGAAGAGAAAAATGACAGCAAAGTCCCTGGAGAACAAAAGGAGAACTGGGAGAAGACGCGTAAGGTTGTATGCGTTCATCGACGTGCAAATTCCGGAACTCATCCTCTGTTTGTGTAGACCGTCAGTCGCGCTGTCATGAATGTTTTAGGAGAGGCAGCGATCGTTACACACAAAACGCTTGTCGCAAGCATGCCACTTCTAGAGCTAGTTCCTGTGCCAGGCTTAGCATTAACGGCCAAACTCCTAATCAAGATATGGGATGCCGTCCAGGAGGTGGATGTAAGTTCCCCCCCTTTCAAGCTTGGCGTTCAACAGATACTTATCGTGTATAGACCAATAGACTTGCATTCCTTCGGCTAACTGAACGCTGTGCATGTATCGTCATTACACTCCATCAAGAGATGCAGGATGCGGGTGAAGATGTTACCCATGAACTTACCGGCTCCTTACGGAGAATAGAGGAGTCCGTTACAAATCGTCTGTAATCCATGCTGGAACTCACGTCCTTCTAGCCTGTTCACCGCCATTCAGACTCTTGTGAACAAGGAAGGAAATATCCCTTTTTTGAAGCGTTACCTCAAACGCGACGAGACACTCGAGAAAATTAAATCTTTGAACCGCCAGCTAGACCAGGAACTTCAAATTCTCGGGGTACTATCGTTTCCTTACCACATCTCTTCATCTAACGTCACGTTTTAGCCATCTTTTCAAATACGGACCGTCAAAGTGATCAAGGAATTCACTGCCGGTATGGACGAGCGTATCGAAGCCGTCATTCAGCGCGCCTTGCACAACCATTGTTGCTCGCATACACCAACGCAAAGTCCAGCATTGATGAGTTCGCCAAGGACCCCTTCCATTCTTGGACCTACGTCTACGAGGCTCCTGAAACCTTTGAAAGAGATCACAGGGGCGCAGGATGACAAGGATAGGGAATTGGACCGAAATGATTTGAAGACACAAATAAACGCCGCTTTACATTCAGGCAATGATGCCACAATGTTGGAATTCCTTCAAGTACCGAGAGAAGATATCCTAGAGGCCATCAAGTCGATGCAGCGGCACCTGGAGCATCGAAAATCTGATAAGCAGTCCGCGACGGGTACAGGTTTACATGATAGCAAGGACACCTTAGACCGCGAGTTCATCGAGACTGGTATCGATTCTCTGCGGCGTATGAGCAAGTCAAGCACTAGTCTGCCGGGTTGGACCATCACCAGGTCGTTTTCAATTCTCCTTGTAACCCAATATGAAGCTAATCATGCTCGTAGGTTCGAGATTGACTGTGGGTCCAGGATTGGAGTAGGGTTCTTCTCGGACGTCTATGAAGGGATGTGGCGTGGGCAAGCTGTCGCTGTCAAGGTCCTGCGTGATTTCTCCTCAAGCCGTCTATTTGTTCGAGAGGTCGAGATTTGGAAGAGCCTCGACCACCCCAACGTAGTAGAGCTTCTTGGGGCGAGCAGTGCCAGTGGAAATCCTCCCTGGTTCTTCGTCAGTCCCTTTGCAAAATATGGAGACCTTGGGAACCATCTACGCCACCTTAATATGGCGAGGGAGCAGCGAGGGCTCGGACTCATGACCTCCTTATCGTCTTCTTCAGCACACACATTTGAGGCCTTGCGGAAGGAGCGTTTCAGACCATCGAGAGAGTGCGATTTACATCGTTTTCTGCTGGAAATTGCAATGGGAATGGATTACCTTCATAGCCACGGGGTGTTCCATGGCGACCTCAAGGTCGGTTTTCTTCATCATTTTGTCGTGAGATCTGTATTGATGCTGGATTATATTAGTGCGCAAATATTCTTGTGAATGAGAACTATACCTGCCTGATATCCGACTTCGGCCAAAGTGAGATTCGAGCTGAGGCGTATCGCATGAGTGGTATATCGGGTCCCCGTTAGTTGACTGTCCAATGCATTTTCTCTTTCCTTTCCATTAATTAGCGAACGTAGGGGGTACTCTACGTTGGCAGGCGCCTGAGGTTATGCAAGGACAGAGCGATCTAACGCCTGCTGTAGACGTTTACGCATATGCTATCTCCTGCGTGGAGGTTTTGACTATGGGTCAGATGCCGTGGTGCCTCATCGACGATAATGCCGTTCAGTTTATTGTTCTCAGTACGTTCTACTATCTATGTTTACCCGCCGCATATGAATTGACGTCATGTGTATAGAGGAAAATGGACGTCCTGTAGTCCCTAGCAATTATCACGCAACGCCAGTGAAGAACCTTTTACAAGACTGTTGGCATCAAGATGCCAGATCACGTCCCTCCTTTTCGGAAGTTGTGTTGTCCTTACAAGAAATCCGCCGCAGCGCAGGGGGCATTATGGAGACACCGCCCCCGTTATCCATACCTGAGATGCCAGAATTAGAGCAATATCAAGAACTAATGTCGCCAATCTCTCTGAGTCCTTGTCGTGAGTGCCATAGAATACTCTGTGAATCAAGGACTCAATATCTTTGATTCTCAGTGTCAACACTTGCTTCCTTGGACCGTCGGTCTCTGTTCGCACATCAGGCCTCCTTCTATGCTGCCAGCCCTAGCCCCCATGCAACATCCGAAGATGGAACGATCGCTGACTCCCCATCAGATATAGAACACTACGCGTCACCTCCAAGAACTGACTCCTCTTCAACATTGGGTGGGACGTTCGACATCCTTGATCCCTCAGAGGAGTTCGTGCAGGTCGATATGGACCTCGAACCCAAGGCGTGGGAGGCAAAGAATGAGCGCCGTTATCGTGCTTCATTGATGCACCGGTATCACAGTAGCCGTAAGTTTAGTATCCTAAGTCTCATGCTCCAGCGCTCACTACACAGCTACGTAGTGTCTGTACCGCTTTGGCAGCCCGTCCCCGTGGCCATTGGCGCCGTGGGTTATCTATTGAAGCCTTCTGGGAGTTTTGTGACCCTGTTCAACGCGATCGAACCTCAAAAGTCCCCCGATCCCCGCATCGCCGGTTTGCCATCGATCGAAGGATACGGCAAGATATCCATCGGATCCCACAAACATGCCACGCGGAATGCAGCACTCAGAGGCCTTGATGCCGTTGTTGGACTTATTAGCTCAGGGAAGCGAGAAGAAACTTCGGCTAAGTGAGCACTTCAATACCCTTCCTGGATTGATAGTTGACGGCGCCAGAAGTATGAGGCGCCGGGCTTCTTTCCCTCTGAGGAATGGTCACACTGCAGCGTATATGTATACCGATTCGACAGAATATCGCTATTTGCGCAAGGTGGAAGCGGCAAAGGCATGGTTCAAGGCTAACATAGACCGCATCATGGAAAATTATGGCGTGGGTCATGACATTAGCAGGGAAAGCCTCATGCTCAGTACGTAATGGCACAATACCGCGCGAAAACAGACTGACTTTCACGAAGTTGTTGGTGTTCTTGAAGCGCCGAACTATGCACTTTTTGTCAGCCATGAACACCCGGACGGGAATGTGAGTAACTCTTGACACCTGCTTTGTGAGCGACTTCTAAGTAACGATCGCCAGGTCCACTTCCACGCATTGAATTCGAAGCTGGGTCAGCCTTGGGGAATGTTTACCATAGATAACAAAGCGTCAAACGAGCATGGAGGTCCGCTTTATCATGAAACACCACAGAAACCTCACCAGTGTGCGTATAAAGCATCTATCAACGGTGATCCGCCGAAGGCGGTATTACTTGCACGTTTGCGCTTTCCACCTGATCAACTAGAACCTACAACACAATAGCTAATTGTCGTTTGTCGCTCCCCTCTACATACATTCACCGGTCCACATCTTATCACACATACTAGCAGTTAAAATTATCAGTAAATTTATGGGCAAATCACGAACTACAGCAGTCCCATTCTCTTCTCTGCATATGCAAAGCTATTGTCTATATATCAACTGCATAGTCTCTATCTGTTTTTTGTCCGGGTCGAGCCAACGTGTTAGGTCCAATAGATCACCACACCAGTGCCGCGTCGTACTTGATTAGCGCTTCGGTT